AACCCGTGCGAGTGCTTTACACTGTAGCCCACCATTATAAAGTCTATTTGTTTCCTATAACAATTGCCAGGCGATTCCAAAGTGTAAAATTACCTCGTATGGTTTTTAAACCACGCGTTTGTCACAAACATTTTCTTTTCCTTGAAGAAATCTGTAAGCCTTTCTCCTCTTTTATTTCTCTCACAAAGTCCAAACCTTTCAACTCACCTTCCCCAACATATGTACTTCAATCGCTCGTTAAAGTGTGGCAACACCATTTCCTTCGATTGCTTTCATTTTCGTAACAATTACCCAAAAATTCATTAACAAAACAAACGTAAACGAAACGCTTCAAATTTACAACAAGGCGCTGCTACATTCGGGTTCATTAAATCTCTATTTCTAAATGGACCCTCGATTAGAGATCCGTCTTGTAGTGTACTTAACCCCCAGGTTCTACGCTAACTTCACACTACAAGAACACGAAAATAAAGTCAACCCGGCAACGGTTAAAAATGGCCACCCAAAAGATGATTTCCACCAAAATTAAACAAAATCCCGCTAAAATTTGAAAAGTGGCACGTGATCAAACATCGAAGGCAGGGCCCTCTTACATTAGTTGTAAACAACGCTATGACCAGAAGTACAGTAGGGAAGGAACGTAAAATATAGCACTGACATTGTATTAATAATGAGCGTAATTATTATGATTGTAAAAGCTCGGAAATTTAAGTCGAAATAAATTACATTGCAAAAATAAACATTGAAAATGGTAGTTCACCGAATAAAAATAAAAACAGGCTGGGAAAAAAAAAGAACTTACCAATATAAAAACCAGCCGTCAAATTAATATTATATTGTGTAGTAAAATTAATTGTTTGTAATATTGTGAATGCGTAACATAAAATTATAACATCACAAAAAGTAGCATGTTGACTTCAATAGGTAAACATATAAGCTAAAAACGAGTTTTGGGAATTATGGGTCAAGTAAGTAGGTACTAAGATTCCAAGAAAGGGAGAAACACACGGGATGTGACTCATCTTTGGTGGAATGAAGTCCTTTTGTTAAAAGCAAGATGGAAAATTACATGGCCTTGTAGGCAAATTTAAGTAAAAACAAGATATGTGGAAATTACAAATCGTAACTCATTTATCGCTTAGATTAGCGTAATCCCGCTCCGGCAAGATAGGTAACCCTCCCCTGGTTTCGGGGTTTCGAGCCTACAGTTGAAAGTCGAAGACAATCACGGAATTAGGTGTCGTAAGTTAATTTTGACTACAGTTTTACACCCCGGGTCAGATTCATTCGCGGAGAAAATTGTTAATTACAAACAAGTCAGTACATACATCAAACGAATCGGTAATTTCCGCATATTAAAACAAAATGATCAAAATTTATATGAATGTAATGTAACTTCTCGGACAAGACAAAGTCATCAACACATAAACATAAATTAAGCAAACATTACACCAAAAACGTAAATGATTATAAACAAAAGGATAACGATATTACACGTCATTCTACATTGCGGTGAAACTAAGTAAATTTCAAAAACAAGGGTTGAAACACACAAAAAATATAAAATGTGGCATACAAAACACAAATACGGTATAAATAAATGTAAAAATTACTACCTGCATTACATAACACAAAATAACAACAAAAATTTATGGAGCGATGACCGCCGTTCAAGACAAGATGCCCAACGTAACCACCGTTCGTGCTTTCTAGATGGCGCAGGTAAGTTCTGTATACAGGGTGGAACCTCTCAGTCTGCTTAGAAAAACAAATTTAACTCCTTAATTCAATTGAGTGACGTCAATATCGCCAATAGAGCACTTATGCCCTTCAAGTCAAGCTACGAATGTGAATGTCGTTTTCGCGCACCACTTTAAGCTACAGATTTGCGCACTTACACGCCTTATCTTACATTCAATTCTAAAAATGCGTTTAGTTTGCTAGCGATACAATATGAATTTGAATAAAGCACAAGAAATCCCTACTTTAGAAAGAAAAGAAAATTACTTTAAATAGACAAAACTGTGACATGTTACGGTCAAGCTACGGATGTTAAGCTTGAGCTTGGGCAAGCAGATATGGATGGACGGACGAGCCGCGCCTCAATCGGTGCGTTACGTTGCCCGATCAAAATCAAGTGGCTCGCTGTGCACATGCCTCAGTCACAGCTTACTTCCCTACGCTGTGCCTCGATGCTTACATGTCGACAGTTCCCCGTGCGAGGAACAATGCACAGTGGCCTCGTTCGCGCTCATGCTCAGATGCGTACCCGCCTTTAGGGCTGCTTCTGCACACAACTTCAAGTTACACATTCGAGCACTTACACGATTTATCTTACATTACATTCTAAAAATTCCGTTGCTAACGATAAAATATGATATTTACAGTGTACAAAGAAGATTTCTCTTTATACAAATTAACTCCTTGTTGTGTTTAATAGTCTCCATGAACGACCGCATGGAGTGAAGCGAGTGAACCCTGTGAATTAATCCAACAGTTTAGATGAAATAGGTATATACTTCTCTGCGGCCACATGGGCATAGATCCCAATAGGGCTGAGAAAAAAACTATAAATATTGGCTAATCTTGCACTACGTGCACTTTTATTGAACGAGGGTTGGAACACGAGATGGCAAAATTGATCACTGACAAATAAGGTAACATTTACTTGGGCTACATACAAATTGACAAAGCTGAAAGAAAAAGAAGATCTCAGGGCCTGTTTACAGATACCACGCACGCAAGCGACCGATAGACAATTAATTTAAAAAAAAACCTAATTGCTCGTAGTATTTAGTAATGCAATAATCTGGTCGCTAACTGCGATTTTCTGGGGTACAAAGAATAAAACAAACACTTGCCGACAGCTTCAAAACACTACACTAGGTTTTAAAAACACGGACTCGCTCTGTTGAGTTTGATTATCAAACTTGTAGCTTATCGAATGGTGGAAAGAAACGACTTTGAGAACGGCTTGATTGACACAGACCCACACTATTATTTTCTTCAATAAACTAACTTCACGCTCAAAAATATGAACGCCGTCTTCACATCCAACAGGCTGACTGCCCAAGCAATAAGAGAACAGCGTTTAGAACGTGCGTTTTCTCGAATTTAAAGTTACTTCTCCCTTCCACCCTCCTTCAAGATGTTGTAAACTAACAGACCACCAAAACCAAACTTGATCAACACCAGATTCAAAATAAACTACACACATGTGTTGTTTACTTATCGGCGATATCATGTGTGTATCTTGAAACTAGTTAAATTTCACCTTACGCAACGCGATAATAAATGTTCTTATCGCAATGGGCAGATGAACCTTTCAATCCAATGCGCAAATACGACCAGATGATCCTACGTTTTAACACCAAATTTCACAAATTAGAAGGGGATCAATTAAACAGAACTTTCCTATTCTTACACAAAACAAGGTTAAACTACAAATTTAAATTGAACGAACTACGTGTTTAACCTAGAACCGGCGACCAAATTTCCACATAAAAAGGTTACCAGAGTGACGCATTATTATTACGGGTTGCGAGCACAAACAAAACGTATGCAGGGCGTTGTTTATACAACATTATCCTAACAAAAACGTTAGTGACGGCAACTTAATTTTTTTTTGAGCGTAAGAGTTTGAAGCGGCTTACCTACAGACAAATTAATATAGATGGTTACTGTCTTAAACAATGGCTAACACAATAGGCGATACGCGCCAAGACAGTACACATGTTCATGAACTTTTATTAATTTTTCAATTGCGAATCTAACTATTGAGATCCTTGACCTGGTGGAAGTCAACTTCCCGTAGATAAAAAACTTCGTGTACCAACAAATACCAACTTTGACCTAGGGGAATTGAAAATAATCAAAAACGGTCATCTAAAATAATCCTACGCATAAATTCAATCGTAAATAAACGGTGTTGTTACGAGTTAGGCCAAAACCCCCGTCCCAACGCAAAAGTAGGTCACTAATTTGGTTTCAATTAATGTTCGTTAACGACGCGATTGGAAAAATAGCAGCAATATCAATAATATTGGAGTTTTTCGCTCAAAATAAAACTGGTGACACTTTATCGCCACCTGATGAATATTTTCAAATGCTTTAGCGTACCTAAAATGTTACGTAGCCGTTCGCGACATTAGCTGCGAAATAGTCGCAATTATGCGAGGACAAGTTTACAAATGCGCACGCGTTGTATCGCTTTTATTTCCAAACATACTTTCGTTCAGGTTCGCTATGAAGTGGTAAACGTGTAAATTTTCCAATACTGAGCAAAATAAAATTTTAATTGAAAACGATTAAACGTAGAGCGGTCTCTCCCCTAAAATAAAGTAGAAAGGATAGGTTACCCAATGATTTCAGCATATGCTTTTCAAGTGTGCAGGTGGTTAAGGCACACCGTATTGTTAAGTATCCTTACTTCAAGTAGTATGGAACTGTCATGTGGGGCTGAAGTAAAAATCTTCTTAGGTCGTTTTCTGCAAATGCAACATTTTTCTTGGGTTTATACTTATCATTTGTTTGAAGCTTTCACTAATACATTCGCTAATAACTTTCATATTCCATGTAATATACTTTGCTGGATGTTGTAGGTAGCGACTCTCCTTTTGCTTCTGCAACAAATTCTTCAAAAAGTCCCTTTTTTTTCGACTTGTTTTTATGTAACAAAAAGCATTTTGTATGAAAGAAATTAAAGATGACAAATTCAGCCTATCACCTCTTCTATAAATTCAAACAAGGGTGTCACATTCAGAACTGGCTGTATTTAATTCGGAGAGTTCGGAGGTGCCAAAGTTTATCGACCCTATCCCCTAGTGGGGCGGTGCATATTTGCGACAGTGCTGGGACTGATAAGAATGATAAGCGATATTTTTAGCACTATTATTAGGCACTCAAGTAGTAAACACCAATTGATACTGAAACGAATATATGGCATAATCAGTAAATTGGAAGATATCGCGACACTGAGAGAGCATTACTGATCCACTTCCGAGTGTGAGTGAGATTATGTACGAGTATCTAGGAAAAAAACAGAGCTCCGCCACCTTTGAATATTAAAACTGGAGCGTAACAAAAGAAAATACCTGAAATTGAGATAATGAATTGAATTATTTATCAAAGCCTCGGTCGGTAACAGGTGTTAAAGTTGGTGATACATAGGAAATTGGTCTGGCCTTTTCCACAACAAAAACTGACAGTAACGTACTAATCTCCCAATGTCAGCAAATTGCGCAATTTTGTATTGACAAAGTAATTTTATCTGTAATTAGCTCTCATTGTGCAACGACCAGGTGAGTATAAAAGCGATGGATCTATCTGGGGTATTCCATGTGCAGCACCATGAAACTCCAACTTATTTTTTTCATCGCAATCTTGATAGTGTACGTCTCTGCTGAATGGGGTAAGTGCAACATCCCTTTACTTTAATGTTGTGCTAACCGAACGGTTTTCAGCGTGCAACAGTGGTGTGAGCTATCGCGAAAATGACTGCAACTACTGCAACTGCTTGGATGGAGGATTGGCATGTACCAGGATGCGATGGTTAGTATAACTTTAACGCGTAAATGTTACTAACGTAGCCGATTTAGCGGCCACCAAGAGAGTCTAAGGATGGCAAGTTGTACCGACTACGGAAAAGTGACAACTAGTCGATACGGCGAAACTTGCACGTGCACAAGAAAATACCATACCGTCTGCTGGAACCAAACGTCATCATAAATTTCACATATGTGTTAGAAGCAAATAAGTTTCCTAATAAAAAAATTAATTTAAAATGAGTATTTTACTTGAAGTCCAAACAAGGCACTTAAGGTAAAGGGTAGTCGGGCAGAATTTGTAATTAGTTAATAGAAATGCCGTAACAGGTTGTATGGCACATCCGGAATATTCACACACCCATAATTACTATCTAAAGTACGTACATTGTACATTCCTGTGTGTTCGTTGGTGTAATAAAATAAAAATTGTTTCAGCTTTCCTTATGTCAAGGTTCTCATTATTTATATTTCAAAAGGTGCCAATGAAGTGTATAAGTAATTGATTTAATTGGTAAAACCGTTTTCAACTGCCGCTAGTAAAAAAACAATGTATCAGTTGTGTAACCGTTCCCGTGGGGAAAGAGACTATCTATGTCTAGATGAAAGTAACGCAAATTCGGGTCCTACTCTTGACCGTCATTCAAACCATCCTACACGTGAGATGAACCTAAAGATGCTGGAATGAGAGGCAACTGTAATCGTAGCCATGTCCCGACAGGATACTCCCAACAAGGATCCTTTCTGGTGGACTAGAGCGGGACATTCACAAAGTATGTGGTGTGCCATCTCGTCCTCTATAAGTTGGTGATTCTACCAAACCCATGCGGTGCATGCGTTTGTCTAGTTTGCAGGGCCCGGAAGGTGTTCCCCCGAGACCTCAGGTTCTATCTTGATAACGCTGTTCAATAACGAACCAGGCAGCGAGATTTCCATTTGAAGGCTTCTCTCGCACGGCGCCAATCTAACATCATGCTCCACCTAGCCCTGTTCTGAGTTTGAGCTATTGAGCCGGCTCTGGATCATAAAACACCTGTATTGAGGCAAGTCGGGCTAACTCATCGGCTCTCTCATTACCTTCCATTCCAACATGCCCTTTGACGCATGCGAGCTCAAAGGTGTTGCTATTTGCTACTTGCTCTAGTGCATGGTGACATTCGGAAATCAACCAAGAGGTAATATTGTCTCGCAACTTAATTTTATTTAACGTTACACCGTTTTTATCGTTGTGGGTTAAAATTTCCGCTATTGTTCGAATTTATCGTAATAGTTTTGCAAGTTACCCAACTTTAATTCTCATTTTGGAACCTAACGCATTTGTTAGAATTCGCAGTAATAGTTCCTAATTTTTAAATTATTCCTTGAGTATGACTTTAATTCACATTTATTTCACACGTACTTAAACGGTCGCCAAAGTAGTCGCACGTAATTTTTCCCAAAGTAATAATTTACAGGCAGTTAACTTAATCGTGTTTAACTTCTCTTGGAATTAACAAAAATTCCACGGTAATCTACAGGTGGTTCACGCTGATATAAAATAAAATCTCCCTTACGTTAATTTACAGGTGGGTGACTAAATTTCGCTCGTGTTTGGACGTGAAATTTTTACCAACCAACCAACCAACCTATCAAACGTACCACACGCTCAATTGCAGTTGACCGACTTAATCGTGCTGACTGATTCATGACAATTCTGTAACGGGAGTCCGCTAACGTATTTGAATTTGTGTTTGAAAAGTGTTTATTTTTTTATTTTTTTTAATTTCAGCGATTTTCAAAGTGAATTCACCAAATTCTGCGTAGATTTGTGTATGTACATTCTGTGTAGATTCTGTGTAGATTCTACGTAGATTCTGCGTAGAGTCGGCGTAGATTCTGCGCAGATTCTGCTTGGTGTTATCTGTTATCAGTTGTAAATGCTTAATTTAATTGCAAGTGGATGTGATTTATCGCCTTTTTTGTGTAGTTAAGAGACATGAAATGTTATTTTGTCCTAGAAATTAAGTTGGATTTATTTCTTAATGTCTGATAACAAATTGATTTATAAAGATTAATCTACCTTAAGTCTTTGTTATCAATTGTGTAGGATTGGTTGTAATTTTGATTTTCGAAAGAAGGGTTTTCGCCTTAAATAGGACGTCAAGAAGAAAAGGGTCGCCTTTTGCCACGATGAGAGCGGAACTACGTTCTTAAAGTCGGCTTTACGCCAAGTTTCGGGTCAAAGTGCGGTCAATTTAATTCAGCTTTTTGCTACGTTAGCACCAGGTTACGTTTCGTAGAAGAATTTTTGCGAGTTCCATCGTGGATTATTTGTGTTGAAAAAACAGCCAGCATTGAAAGTTTCGCCTAATGTGAGTTTGAAGTTCCATTTGCGTAGCCGGAAGTCTAATTCGCGGCTAGTTTTTGTTCTACGTTTTAAAATTTTGGCCATCAAAGGTGCTGCAAAAAGAGGTGTTTGTCGGCGTCCCACAAGTGTGTTGAAATTGTTTTTGTGAGCTGTGTAAGGATACCTTTTATGGACAAGTAATGTAGTTAAGTCGTTAATTTAAGTCTATTTGTAATAATTATTTGTTTTTTTGTACCATTTTTCTTTTGTGTGATAAGATTTAATCGCACTTTTCTAATTTTCACATTGGTTTCCGTGTGTTTCATTCACAACGAGTCTTTTCTAATTTACCTGTTGTTTGTATTGGATGTTGCCCAAGGTCCTTTTAATTATTAAAAATTTTGAAGCTCAGTTTGGAGTTTAAGGCATTTGGTCTGACCCACTATCTGCTGGAAGTTAACAGGTTAACTGAGAGCAGAGTCGAATCTCTCCTCTGTGCCGGGGAGAAGTTTTGTGCCGTGATAATAAATAAAGAGCTAACTAGGTTTTTGTTTTGGTATTGTGTGAATGTTCGTATTTTCGCCATATCTCTGCTTAGAAAACAGATTTCAAAATGCGGTTTTCACTGATATTGTTATCTCTCCTCTAACAAACACTCACAAAATACTTAACTTCTTTATTAAATCAAACCATTGAGAACATTACATCTTTGCCGAACGATGTCATAGACACCATCTTATTCATTCGACTGAACTTAACTTCATAACATTTACCAAACAGTGTGGTCACTATTACATGAAATTAAACAAAGCGCTGTTGCCAACAAGCATCTCTTACAACTCGGCCATTCCTGAAATATGATCACCTCGATCATAACTAAAAAGATGTGGAAGGATTGTTTTCGGACGAAGCTTTCATTCGAGATGATTCTACGATGCCCTCAAATGGGATTTGAGTTTTGTTCCGCTACCAACAACGTTGACGTGCTATCTGGCTGTTGCACTGTAGTCGAACCACTACCCTTCTGCGGACAATCTCAGCGTAGGTGCCCACTGCCCGGGCTGCTTGCAAGAGTAACAGACCGACGCCTTTACCTCCGTGCATGCTGAGGCGTATAGTTAGTAAAATGAGTAAGTTCGTATATCGGATTAGCGCTTATATTCACAGCGCGCTTGACGTTATACATCTTTCCTTATTTAAAACATGACATTTGAGGTAGAGGGCAAGTGCGTATCTAGTTTTACGAACCGCGGGCGGTGAACTAAGAATTACACTGGACGTTACAGACGTTTAAAATTGAGGTTGTTGCAGCAAAAAGAGAAAGCAATAGTTAAGGTATGTTGGTCTCGGAATGGGAAACACCCACTTAAAACACGTTTGAGTGTCACTGGCTTGACGCTTTTAAGTGGGTGTTTCCCATTCCGAAACCAACATACCTTAACTATTGCTTTCTCTTTTTGCTGCAACAACCTCCATTTTAAACGTCTGTAACGTCCAGTGTAATTCTTAGTTCACCGCCCGCGGTTCATAATAGTTATTTATGTATTAAGGGCATAATAGTGATGTTTATATTCTCGAGGGCGACGAGTTAAAAAGCTCGAGGGCCTATGGCCCGAGAGCTTTTTAGTCGCCCGAGAGTATAAACATCAGTTTATGCCCGTGGTACATACACAATTTTATGTTTTACAAATAGTTTTCTTCGTCAAAATTCGTTTACAAAATAATTCATTATGTTTGATCGAGTATGCGTGGTTCGAATTTGTTAATTCGATTGAAACCATCCAAACGTCAAACGTAATTTTAAATAATTCAATTCATCGTGAATGAGCAAGAAGTTCCAGAAACTATACGAAATAAGGCCAATCTTGTGATTTAGTAGGTACCTATTGACAATTAATAATTGACGTTTCTAATTTTCAATGATCTGCAAATATTTGTTTGTTTTGTCATTAAGCATAAATGAGTTACTATGGTGATACTTTATGCCCTAGGGCATAAAGTGGTACTTTATGCCCGCGTATCACAGATATAAAATGTGCTATGATAGGTTAGTAAGACATAAAACTAGATACGCACTTGCCCTCTACCTCAAATGTCATGTTTTAAATAAGGAAAGATGTATAACCTCATGCGCGCTGTGAATATAGGCGCTAATCCGATATGCGAACTTACTCATTTTACTGACTATAGTGACCGTCCTTCGAACACCTGAAGCATGTAATTCTCTTCATTTCTTCTTTTGCCAGTGTGGGTATGCTTCTACTCTCGGTCCTGAGTCCACTGCCGCCTGGTCTTGACACATACCCACTACGTTCGCTTGCAGTAAGTGTATTCAACGTATCCAACAATTCAACCAAAGTTGTGAAGCGACTCAACCTTGCCTGTGCCTGCAACACTGGGTTATCCAATCCGTCAATCATGTAGGCAATTAAATCGTGTTCCCCTAAATCCAACTTGTTACCCATCATTAACTTCTCATGATAATAATTGGAGAAAGTTTCGTTTTTTCTCCACTTCCGATTATCGAATTTGCGCATGAGCATGATGCGATTTTCCCACCTGCTAAACATGGCTACCATTTCCTTTTTGAGATCATTGTATTGCAACGCTGCATATTCAGGCTTGGAGTTGTACCATTTGGACGCGCTGCCTTTTAATTTTACCGCCAAAAGAACTACAGCAACGCGGTCAGTCACCTCGTACGTGGTTTTAACGGTTTCCACTCTCTTAAACCATGTGTCAGCATCGTCTTCATCGCCGCCATGGAACTCTGGAATCAACGCAGCTATCTCGGCATTGGACAGTTTTCGATTTACTTCCTCTCTCCTATTTAACGTGGAGACTACGATTGAAATTAAATCTTCTACCGTGATGTTATGTCCTGCGGAAGCCAACCCTAGTACCTCGCTCCAGCAGCCATTCCGCTCCCGACATCTGCTTCACGATCGTCACCAATCATATCTTCAGTATCTTCTTTATCCCACTTCTGATAACTGTTATCTCTCCTCTAACAAACACTCACAAAATACTTAACTTCTTTATTAAATCAAACCATTGAGAACATTACATCTTTGCCGAACGATGTCATAGACACCATCTTATTCATTCGACTGAACTTAACTTCATAACATTTACCAAACATTGTTGTCACTATTACATGAAATTAAACAAAGCGCTCTTGCCAACAAACATCTCTTATAATATTCTCACTTTTTAGCGCATTTCCACAAAAAAAAATGCGCTATTGTGGCCACTTTGTCCGTCCGTCCGTCCGCTCGTTTTGCGACGCTACTAGTTCTTTATCTTAAGAGCTATTGTTCTACTTTTTCGCTATTTGGTTCGTTATGGTGTCGAGTCTTGTACCAAGGAAGGAATTTTTTCTGTACCGCTTACAAAAAAAGTTATTGTAACAAAAACAAAATAGTATATTAAGATACAAGTGTATAATCAAGTCTTTAAAGCACGCGCAACGAGTTTAAGGGCACGACGCAAAGCGGAGTGCCTTTAACGTTGCAAGTGCTTTAAAGACCAATTATACACGTGTATCTTATAGTATTTTTTATTATACCTGCAGTATAATTTAAAAATAGGAAATACAATGAAGTCATATTGACGTTATACTCGAATACATGTCTAATTAAGTGGGCTGGGTGTTCGCAATTTCACGATTGCCATGGAAATGTCACTTGACGTTTGCTTATAAAAATCATCGTCTTTGTGAATTAAACGATTTCCGTTGAAAAAGATAATACACCGTCCATTAAATCGATTGTTGTAAAATCTAAACAAACGTTGGTAGGTGTAAAATCCAACTCCAGTAAAGCCTATTATAAAGAATATGAAAAGTGGTTTCCATGGATGAATAGGAAGTTACTTACGAATACAGTCTTAAATGCATCCATAATGCTGGCATATATGAAGGAAATGTCAAAGGTATTTAAATCTTCTATATTTTGGTGCATTCATTCAAAACTAAAGCAATGCTGCGATTAAAAAGTGGAGCAGATTTGGAAGCATACCCTAAATTACGCGCGTTTGTGAAAGCTTCAACCAAAGGATAGCTACAAAAGCCAAACAAATGTTCTGCATTTACAGAAAGCGACCTAAAAGGATTTTTTTATTGCATCCAGATGACAGTTTCAAAAGTCATACTTGAAGTATCGTTACTTAGCAACTTTAAAGCACGTGTGTTTTAAAGGCCCTTTTTCGCACGCATTTGAGTGTTTAAAACAGAAATTGTGATTCAGGTATAATAAAAAACCGTTTTTTACATGTTCCATAATTTTACACTTTTGCCGTTTATTAACGATCCTAGAGATCGTTTATAATTTTGCATTGCTATCTGTCGCCTGCCGGTTGGTCTCTCCGTCTGTTCCTTTGCCTGTCTGTCCATCTATTTGTCCGTATGAATGTGAACGATAACTTTGTTTAGAAATGTTCGATCGCTTTTACATCTCCGTTAGTTATGAACTGAATTGCATGAAATTCAATATGGGCATAACTTTAGCCATATAATACGCAATGCCAAAAGTTGAATCGAATCGATTCAAAATTCACAGTGCCCTTTTCGCATCTCGACCATTTATAAACCGAATTGCAAACTTCTTTACTTATAAAAGTATTTGAATGAAATTTGATACATAGGCACTTGGAATAAATGAAAATCAAACGCCAATTTCAAAATTTGGTTTTGCGCATGCGCAGTGCCAACTTTTTTATTTATGGAAGAATTTAAACGAAAATTTGATACATAGGCACTTGGGATAAAGGAAAATCAAACGCCAATTTCAAAATTTGGTTTTGCGCATGCGCAGTGCCAACTTTTTTATTTATGGAAGAATTTAAACGAAATTTGATACATAGGCACTTGGAATAAAGGAAAATCAAACGCCAATTTCAAAATTTGGTTTTGCGCATGCGCAGTGCCAACCTTTTTATTTATGGAAGAATTTAAACGAAATTTGATACATAGGCACTTGGGATAAAGGAAAATCAAACGCCAATTTCAAAATTTGGTTTTGCGCATGCCCAGTGCCAACTTTTTTATTTATGGAAGAATTTAAACGAAATTTGATACATAGGCACTTGGGATAAAGGAAAATCAAACGCCAATTTCAAATTTTGGTTTTGCGCATGCGCAGTGCCAACTTTTTTATTTATGGAAGAATTTAAACGAAATTTGATACATAGGCACTTGGGATAAAGGAAAATCAAACGCCAATTTCAAAATTTGGTTTTGCGCATGCGCAGTGCCAACTTTTTTATTTATGGAAGAATTTAAACGAAATTTGATACATAGGCACTTGAATAAAGGAAAATCTAGCGCCAGTTTCAAAATTTTATTTTGCGCATGCGCAGTGCCAACTTTTTTATCTATGGAACCATTTAAGTGAAATTTGATACTTAGGCGCTTGGAACAAAGGAAAATCTAACATTAGTTTTAAAATTTAGGTTTGCGCATGCGCAGTTCCAACTTTCTTATTTAGAAAAGCATTGAAATGAAATTCTTCTCATAAACTGAAATTGAAGTAGCACGTCAACAATGGATTGCCCATGTGCAACGCTATCTTTCATATTTGTGGCCGGATTTTTACGATTTTAACACAAGTTGCATCTTACAAATGGGAAATGAATGCAAGTGGAAATGCGCTTTATGTAAATCGTTTACGATTACTTTTTAACTTGTTCATCTTACTTGATAATATCATGTAATAATTATCAAAAAAAAGGCAAAGTTATGTTTATGTCACATCGCGCCTTCTACCACTCATCACATTTACTATTATAAAAAGACTATTCAAATCTGATTCCACGAAGAGAAGTCTTTCCAACAAGACCTATTATGTAAAAAATCTGTTAACCTAATCCGAAGTTACATTCAATTCCCGAAAGAGATGTTCCCCTTCCCATGCCCCTCATATTTTATGAGCTAGAGCAATATGTGCTACATCAAAATGATGCAAAATTGATACAAGATTGCTATGCATTTATTTTTATGCATGTTTGCTGTGTATATTTAAAAAAAAATCATTTTTCTACATAACCATGAATCGTACGCCCTCTAGTGGCGAAACTAGAAACTTGAAAATAATTTCCAGCGATTTCTCTTGGCCCCTTTTGTTAACAAATTTTTTTCCCGAAGCTGTGCAATTAACGGTTCTATAGATATGGCCGGTGACCATTATTAATGGGACACCCTGTGCACTCTGATTATGATTTCTAGAGACTTGTATTCGTTTCGTAGCGCTGTAAATTCTTAATTAATGAATAAAATTGAAAAAGTTTGTAATAAAAAATATTCCATGAAAACCCTTCTATAAAAATGGTCAGAGGTTATTTTTTTGTAAAATGACCATAAAAAAAGTTATAAGGACCAATTGATAATTTTTCACAAAATGTTCATCAATTTTCGTTTATAACTTTCTTATTTTTGGTTCTGCAACTAAAAGTTACTGGATCAAAGTTGTACAGAATTTTATTTTTATTCAAAAATGTTTCAATAAATTTTTTGTGCGACCAATAGTTTGTCAGATAAACCATAAAAACGTTTGCACCTCTTTTTCAAGGGCTGCAACCCCACAAACTTGGATTTAACTTTAGATTAACCCCCCCTTCATATGTAAAAAATAAAATTGCGTCCGATGACAAACGCAACCCCAAATGTAATTTTTCAATGGACTAAAATCCAAGATCAGTAAGAATCATGGTAAGAATGGATATTGTCGTGAAGCACATTTTTTAACTCAATTGAGGTTTGCGGGACAACGTGATAGGGATAGGGGATGACGGAGAATGTGTAGTCAGGGGTACACAAATCCTCTGTTCTAAGTGTGTCAGCGGGTTCACTAAGAAGTAAAGTGCAAAGGTTCTGATTTACTTAATGTTTACATAAAACAAAAGTCAATGACTTTTTTTGCATCGTGTCCCAATTCTTGAATCTAATCCAATCGACCTATTCCCAAATGGGAGATCCCCATTTCACGCAAGACTGTTTGCAATATCACGGTTTGTTTTGGAAGTGATAGCGTGCCTTTCTCACGTGCGCGTCCTTTGTACAAGGAAGACGCTGACTCCTCAAGAGGTCATATTTTTGTTGACATACATGACGCGAAGGGGGGTTATCGTTTGGATGTTTGCAATGACCGATACGCCATGCATCGATGAGTTCCCCCAAGTCATCCTTGTCAGAATTTCAGATTGCGATTATGGAAGCTCAAAGTTCGTGTATGTACCAATACTTTATTAACACACGTGCTTGAATTACTCGACTGATGGCACACACATGGAGCTCGCTATGTTCTTAAAAAAATAAAGGATAAATAATAGAATAGGTCTACATGTGGATGAGTTTACATGGATGAATGGGAACAATAATTGTTAAGCTAAACCTAAATCATACTGTCGCCTTTTCTTCGCACACGTAATTCGTACAAACAGTCCCTAAGTTCTCGACGCACTCACACTTATTGCATCCTTTCTCACTTTTTGTACCAACTTTGCAATTGAAGAGTAGCGTCTCCCGAGGGTCTAAGCTGAAACAGTTCCGTTAAATGATTGCCATGGTAACCACTTTGATACAGACCATGGTTTGTTGTCTCCGCATTTCAACTCCTGATCCTTTGTGCAAACGCACTCCCCACACTCATTTTCCTTGTAAGGTACTCCCTCCTGGCAAACTACAAACCCAAGGTAAGCAAGGAGACGATTTCGCGAGGTCGACTTACCAAATTTCTCACTGCACAAAACCACACTAACCACAAAAGTGCAGCACATAAAACAGATCGCCGGTTTCATTTTGAATGTGAATTGATTGTAACACTGCTCGTCAATGAATGATTGCGTTGTCTAAACGTACAAGTTGTCATATTTACAGAATTTATCGGTAGTGGAAAAAAACTAATAAAAATAATGCCAATTTCGAGCAACTTTGATCCCGTTTCCAATACTATTCAGAAATGAGGAAACGGAGTCGTACGTAGGTACTCTATTTTTTTAGGACGCACAAATTTTGCCACTCAAGCACGCATTAAAAACGTTCAAAGAGTTATCTACGTGCGCCCTATAATATCATTTATGCCAATTAGGTGATTATTTAATTTCATAGTTGGGGCTCACGCGTGCGTTGTACTCTGGAGGACAATGGAAATCTTCCACTCGCTACCTTTTTCTTTTCTTCTTTTTCGATATTGGGCGCGTCATTCGGCTCTTTGTGAATGAACGGTCCTTATCGCGAACGGGGGAGGTCACCATTAACTAATTAAATCCGGTTTTGGCGATAGCGTCTAAATGGATGACGAAACGCTTTCGACGTTAAAAGTGGAAACGTCACCGGATTTTTGAGAGGCGATCGTAAGAGAGATGACGTTTGCGGGCAGAAAGCAAAAGTGTATCGGGAAAAAGTAATGGCGACAAGTTGTCTTGGTTGTTTAAGTAGGTTAATGCTAGTAATCAATTCAGTTTATGTAATTGATAAAGTTTGAGCGCTCTTCGTGAGCTCCATGGCGGATGTGGAGATTCTAATTCAATCGTACGCATTATCTTTTATCAGAGTTGATTAGGAAAATTAATTAGAACTTTTTAATAACCGCACAGAGATGGGATTTTATCAATTTCTGATATTTCTTATCAAACAAGCATCGGAAATCAGGAACCCCCCTGTCTAATTATGCAAATTCAATATTGCGAGAAAATTCCGAAAAAAATATGTTTTGCAATTTGTTCGTTCCAATAACTCTAATTAAGGTTATGTAAATCGCAGATCAGCTACTATTATAACAGGGACCATACAGGATGACGTTCGACAAATTAGAGACAGGCTGAAATTTGGCCAGGTACTTTGTTTTAAAGTATTAAATATTGTCTGAAACCCCCGTGCCGATGTGCTGAGCCCGTCACCCCAAAACCACCTCCTTAGTGACGTAAAATCTACCTTTTTTGAAATTTCAATTTTTGAATACTTCCTCCTGTAAGGGGGTTTTCGAAGTGCCCCCCCCCCTTCCAACTCTAAGCAACCACCCCTACTCCAATCGCGGGTGTATCGGCTTATCCGGCACCTCATTCTCCGTAGTCCGTTTAGTTCGTACCTACTTGCAGACAGGAGCGTTAATTTGCCCCCCCCCCCCACTTACAGATTTGATGTCGTTTTATTATAAAGTAATGGGATCACACGCGCAACCGATAATAACTCTAGCGTCATTATCGTTTTTTGGGAGGGGATAAGTACAGGTAGCCCCCCCCCCCTTCCGCCCCCCACTACGTACTTTGTCGCTGGTATCTATGCCATCTGATACATTTGGATATGCGCTCAACTGCGTCACTTGAATTAAAGCTAGCGTCATCACGGTTAAGTCATGACAAATTTTCAAAAAGGGGCGGGGGGCAACTTAACGTTACTTTTTTGTATCATGTTTCTAAAAGGTGTAGTTTTTAAGTGGACCATTAGAAGTATCTCAGCAACGGTTTGGAATTTTAATTCGGGGCCTTTTTGGAATAATCGATCAAAACGAATAATTTACACATATTTTCAAAATGGCCGCTTTTCCGGTTGTATCAGATCGATACCGGAAATTTCTTATTGCAAATGGCACTATCTTTTCTGATGCCATTCTTGAATTATTCCTCAAAAAAATTAATATAATTTTGTCAATGTGATGCTATGTCTAACTGAGATGGTTTCGAAGTTTGACATTTTTGACATTTTTTCACTGTTTGAGAGGTTCAGTAAATTACTGTTGTCCGACAACTTAGCAAAATGTTCTTTTTTTTCGAATGGACATCTAAAAATCCACGTTATTAAATGTTATTGGTTATATTAAATTAATTAATTAATTAAATTAAATTAAATTAAATTGTTATTGTTATAATAAAGGTAAGAGTTCGCATAATGTTATTCGAGAAGGATTCTACATCGTAATTGAAATGCAAACCAAAGGAAATATTAAACGGTATAGAAAATAACGTCACAGGTTGATCGGGTAGGACATTCGGGTGCAAGGGGCCGAGTTTTGTACACAGCGAGCAGTATTTCGGGGTGGCATCGGGAATGTGAGAGGATTCGCGGGGGTAGTGTCTTCCAAACATGGAGACCTCTTGGATGAGCAGGGTTTTGATGGTGGTTTTGGAGGTCGTAAATATTCTGATGAAAGTTGTGGGTTGGTTTGCGACGCGGGAAACATCGCGGGTTACTATAGAGATGCAGGGTATGGTGATATCGGGTTCGGTAATGTCTCAGTCGACGTTAAGAAGAACACAGGAAACGGTATGGGGTCTGGGGGAATGAGTTTGGGTTTCAGGGCCTTCCTCGGGGCCTGCTAGTTGGGAGAAGGAGATGGTGGTGTCACCGAAGTGATGAAGTTTGCGAGAAAACTAGGGATCTATGGGTAGGTTGCATTCTACGAGTGCGGTGTGGTTATAATTCATTTTTAGAGAGGGGAGTGTAGCGAGCGAAATGTAGAGTTGTTTTTGGGTTTGGATGCAGTATCGGTAGGTGGTGTTGGTGATTGTTGTGGGGTAGGTGGTGGTAAGTTTGTAGGGGATATTTGTATTTGGATTGAGGATCTCACTTAGGGAATTTATGGTTTGCCTTTATTATGGGCATCAAGGATCTTCTTGAGCCAGGAGCAGAGCTCACCAAGCAAGCGTGGATATAGGTGTAGGTGAAGACTGAAGATAGACTCTATGAAGGAGACGATTCCGTTTCTATGAGAAACGGTGCAGGGTCTATTTCAGGACGCACGCCTTAGTGCTTTACTAAATTTGGGCAGGTATTAAGTTTGCAAAGTCCATAATTAGTGCATTATTATTATTAGAATACGTACAGTGCACATTCACTGTAAACAAACTGTACAATTTATCAGTGAATGTTATTAACAATATTATTAAACTTGAAAATGGAGATACCACATGGGCGTTACCGTTAAAATGGTAACTATTCCACACTACTTTGCCGCAGTTGTAGTCTATGCAGATCCATCCTAACCTGTCAGCACAGACGCACGAATTACACTTTTCCGTACCTGTGGTTCCGGCCGTACAGTTGTGCCATTCAGTGGAGGATTCGCTTAGGAGGAAGCATTAAATTGTACAAAGATGACTAAAAATCTACTTACCAATACATCAGCGTGCACAACAACTTTCCTTTGCTACAACTGCAATCATTGCAATGATTCTCCTTGTAGAGAACTCCATCTTCGCATACTACGGCAGAGGACTTGATCAATCTCGGTTGGAATACCGAGCGCACTTACCAAATTCTTTCGAATCGATCAATCAGTACACGAAAAGAATTATCGACAAAAGAAACAAGTTAACCTTCATTTTTAACTATGATAATTTGATTTCGCAACTGGTCCTTTTAAAAAAGATACAGGTTGTATAATGGGATTATAAGTTTGGCGGCGTATTACGTATTTATCTTTATAGACGTAGCGGATTTATTTACATGGCAACTCGTTTAAATTATTATTAACTCGGGTGACAATCGTAAACATTTACAAACATTTACTCTATTTACTGGTTAAACTGAGATAGTAATTTCTCTACAGATTCACATCCTTTATCTTGTACCTTTGGCAACCTTATACACCAATTTATATCTTTTTGATTTTGATTTCGAAGGTCTTTTAACCACCAATTCCTGACAGACACTTCTTATATACCTGGTTCAGAGTTTCAAAATCCTAAAGCGACGTCTAATTCAATTATTCGATACAAATGAAAAAATATTGCCTTTGCAATTTTCCTATGGTAGATTCGAATTGAATATAATTAACAAAAAAACTTGACTACAGTACACATTTCACTTTTACGATTCATTTTTGTCGATTCTGTATATTTCTAGTAATGATCTATGTATTGAACGACCAAATTGGACCTTTTTTTTAGTAAGTAAGTAACTCTACCAAGCATATTCATTGACTGCCCTCTCGAGCGCTTTCTTTACAAGTTAAATATCCATTTCGTTTATTTATTAGTTATTACTTTCTAAAACTATAACTGATCGGGTCCAAGCATTTTTGCTGATACAATTACCGATCAAGCATTCAAGTTTTGTTAAAATGGCAACCTAGCAAACATACTTACGTTTAAAAAACAATTTCAAAACTCTTTCATAGCATAAATTGGTAGTATGTTATACGATTTAGCGGTCCCATTGAAAACTCAACCAGCTAATACTTCACGAGTAGCCCTTCTAAAACTGTTCTTTTTTCGGGTCCGTTAACTTGGCCCCCCTACTGAGAGATTTCATAGTCGTATTATTTTGAAATGAATGCGCTCGTTATGCCCTCATATGCGCCACCGATAATAACTCTTGCGCCATTATCGTTTTTTAGAAATCCGAAAAAACAGTGGGGGGGGGGCAAGTGAACGTAGCCCCCCCCAGTACGTATTTTGTCCCTTGTAACTAGGTCACCTGATACATTTGGTTATGCTCTCAATTGCGCCACTTGATTTAAAGCTAGCGCCATTACGTTTAAGCCGTGACAAATTTTCAAAAAGCGGGGGGAGGGCAACTTAACGTTTTTAAAAGTTACTTTTTTTAACATCTTTTCATACGAAATTGTACTCTCAGGTATGCGCTGAAATGCGCCGTAAAAAGATATCTTTGCGCCATTATTGTTTTTTGGTTATCCTTAAATATATTTGGGGGGGGGGGCAAGTGAACGGAATCCCCCATAACGCATTTTGCTACCGGTATTTGTGCCACTTGATACATCTGGTTATGAGCTCAATTGCGCCATTTGAATTAAAGCTAGCGCCATTACTGTTAAGCCATAAAAAATTTTTAAAAAGTGGAGGGTCTAACTTAGCGTTTTCAAAAGTTATTTCCGGAAGTGCGTCCATTTTCAAAATATTTTACATCGATTCGGCCTTCGGAGTAACTCCTAAATACAAATTTTTAAAAACCTACCTATTTTACTTTCCCAGAATCGTTTAACTAAAGCTCCCAAAAAACACCCTGTATAGTGTTTCTGAAACACTATAATGGCGCCAAGATTTTTGTTTACGGCGCATTTTAGCGCATGATGAAAGGTACGATGTAGTAGAAAAAACATGTAAAAAAACGTAACTTTTGAAAACGTTAAGTTAGCCCCCTCCCACTTTAAAAAAATTTTTATGGCTTAACCGTAATGGCGCTAGCTTTAATTCAAGTGGCGCAATTGAGCGCATAACCAAATGTATCAGGTGACCTAGTTACAGGGGACAAAATGCGTACTGGGGGGGCTACGTTCACTTGGCCCCCCCACAATGTTTTTTCGAATTTCTAAAAAACGATAATGGTGCAAGAATTATTATCGGTGGCGCATATGAGCGCATAACGAGCGCATTCATTTCAAAATAATACGACTATCAAATCTCTCAGTGGGGGGGCCAAGTTAACGGACCCTCTTTTTTCATATTCATGCTATCTCCCCCCAGAGGATAGATCTACACGATGTTGGTACGAAAACCAACCAATTTAGAATAAACCTTCCATAAATGAACCGGATTTCCGTGAGTGTTAATTTGAGCTTGTATCCCCTTCTACTTGAATCTAGGGTGTAAGTTAACCAGCGAATTACCATTTCAACGAATCCTATGCTAGATGGTGATCCCAGCATCCAAGGTGCAACTGTTCGAAGGGTAGATTTAGACGCCTTATAAATATGGAAAATTATATTCTTGTATTTGAATTTCAATACGCACCGCATCCTTTTAGATATTTGACGTGTGAACTTTTTATCCTTAAATAGAAACAGTATGACCCATTCGCTTTGTGTATGTGGGCAACGTTGGAAAGGATCTTCCCCTTGTAATTAATATTTGCGTATGAACTCAACGGTTATTGGGAAACTTTTTCGTAAACGGTGCACACATTCACTTAATTCGACTTGTTCACCTTTATCACGATGCGACGTAAAGAGAATCTCTTTAGCTTTCTTCCACACAACTTTACAACTAAACAAGACAGGCTGTTTTTACCACCCGCACGTTAGTAAGGGAGGTATTGCATTGAGATAAAAAACAATCCACCACTTCTCGGTGAAGTCGATCGGTCCGTCGGTCTGTCGGTCCGTCGGTCTGTCTGCCGGCCTGCTGGTCTGTCTGTCTGTACTTCCATTTCCGGCTAAACGGTTGAACCGATTTAAACCAAATTTGATACACACATTTTTAGACACAGGTGTGCGGGTGGTATTTGTGCTAGCCACAGAAAATTTTTTCAAATGCGCTCAAATACAACACCTCACAAAAAGAGACGGCCACGTTTCAAACATCCATCACCAAAAAAGCTTCGATTAACGTTTTCCACTTGTATTTAAAACAATTTCTCAAATTACAATCTGTTTGTTTCGGCGATAAAATGTGCTTATGTTGAAAGTAATTAGCTACGTAGAGATAAGAAAATTTCTTATCTGCAACCGGAAAAAAACATGAGATAAACTTTACGCAAATAATTCCAACCTGAATAAATCTGGTCTATATCACGTCAGTTCGTTACAATTAACTAAACAAAAGCAAATGCAAAAAAAGTCAATTATTTACACAAAATTAACGATAAATAATTCCGCTATAAAATATAATTGTGTTACGTTCACTTTGGGCAAAAGAAACAAAATTACCTTAAGATATGGACAAGGTAAAGCCCAGGAAAAGTAGAGGTGGGGTTCCTATACACTAGCAAAACGAAACAGAAAGGAAAATGTAGTAATAGTAAACTGGATAGGCGCAAACTAGAGGGAGGAATGTCTTCCGCGAAGGGGGCTTGTCTTGGGAAGGTTTCTAGCTGATATTGAAGGTGTGTTTAAGAACCCCAAATTTGACTTCATTAGTAAAGCTGCTCCAACTTTGCCATTGGTGTGTCCGCGCCATGCAAAGAATCTGGACGTCGACGGAGATGAGCTACTCGTCACCAGGGTAGAGTGCTGCTGTGGTGTATGGTGCTCGTGGACCCCCCTGAAAGAGGACAGCGCATAGGATACGATACCGCAATCGTTATAACTGGAAAGTTTCCAAACACAGTGAATGAGAGCATGCAGAGAGCTCTTGGAGGGGTGTATAGCAGACAATGTGGCCATAATTCTCCATGGTTACAATAGTGTCCACCAATATACATTCATCACCTTGGTTTGAAGGTACCAACTTTGACCATGGCTCCGCTTCTAGGACTAGAGCCATTACACTTAGCTCTGACGGCGTAAGCTCGGAAGGCTTCCACACGACAAAACGATCGAGGTGAGTGGAAGGATCGAAGACGTGCTGAAAATAGGGGTGGTCACATTCATAGCCACAGGTTTATCAGTACGTTATCAAGCTGTTCCAATGCTGAGGTCACAAAACCCGAGGCCCACCTGAAGTTATTTCATCCATTCGGCATATTTCTTTAGTGAAACTAACAAAGAATGTTACAAATAAGAACAGTACGCGTACTAGCAGCAGTCCTGATCAAGCAACCGCAGCGCCGGAACCGCGGCAGCTTACGCAACCTACATTTTTTCTAGAAAAGGGTAGCAACCATCAAGTCATTTTTCTAAGGCAAGATTTAATACTTTCAGTACACAACTAACTGTAGAAGGCATTTTCTGTTGACGAAGAGATCAGAAAATAAATGTAATTACCCGGAACACGGACCTACGTAGACGGGGACAGAAAGGAAGTGGAGGGGGTCACTGTAACGCATATTATTTGATCCGGCTTTCGTGCAGGTTTATTTGCGAGCATAGTGAGCGTTGTAGTATCCCGCCATGTAGTCAACAATTTTTACGTATTGGTAACTCCTATTTCAATAAGAACCAGCAAAAATATCCGAATGCAAGAAACGAATCCCATGCCCAAAGTGAAAGCTACCACCACCGAATTTAAGAATTATTCTCCTTGCTTCAGTCAGACCGCTCAATATCTTATCACATGTCTTTCAGAGAGTAGCATCCTGGCATGTGTCAGTGCCATACAACCAACCACCACCTTGTTGTAAAGGGTGCCAAAATCAGGCCGGGCACGTAGAAAATTAATCATGGCGGATGTTCTTTCAAATCCAAAACCAAAACTTGAAACTTCACCCTAACAATGATGATCGAGGGTATGATAGCGAGAACCAAGGTAACGTAGTAAACAAATGAAGTTGTAGTTAACGTGGGTATTCCCTCAGCAAACCAGTTAATTAGCGTCTATCTACTACCTAATGATGGTTTATATCACTCGTTTGGGCATTTAAATACACCTCTTACACACGCAGATCTTCATAAACGCCTCAAAAAGCCATGAAGGTCGTAGTGATACTTGTTGCCGTGGTGACGCTTGCAGTTGGGGACGCGTTTGGTAAGCTATCGTAAAATTTCACCCTTTACTCACATTGATCTCGCAGTTTGCAAGGAGGGAGAAAGTTACAAGGAAAACAATTGCAACAACTGCGGGTGTTTCAACGGGAACTTAGGATGTACCATGCGCCTATGGTAAGGGATGCGGGGTATTACTCATTTTGACCGCGACTTTTTTTTTAGTGAATCCGGCCTCACCAAACAGATGCTTAAGTGTAAAGTGGGAACGATGTCTACTAACGCCTGTAACAGTTGCTGGTGCGTCGAAAATTTGGGCACCATTTGCACCAATAATAAGTGCTAATTCAATTTTGTAATAACCCCCACCTTGGACCTTGACAAGTTTTTCTTCGTAAAATTATTTATTAAAGCAAGCAGGTACATTATTAGAAATAGGTTGTTCGTCTGTCCCTCCGTCCGTCTGTGTGCACGAGTTGTGAGGTCACGATAACCCTCAAGCTGAAGGTCTTAGGGTTAGATCTTCTTGGTCCAAGTAAGAAACGTATTGACTATGGAGTTAAAATGCAAAAGGTAACCAAAGTCATCAATTTTACAGTTACAAAGACACGCGTTCACCTAAAAGTAAACAGAGATTTGGGTTACGGGGCAAAAGGCTGATTACATTGATTTACGCGGAAAAAATTCTAGTGCATACCGCGAAATTAGACAAAGATTTTTGTGAAAAGGCGCACGTTTTAATCGCATAAATTAAACGACCAAGGACAAACTAATTAAGCGCACCAGTATATTTTCTTTGCAATAAAGGGATATTGTAGAAAAATCAGTGTAGTCATTTCACTGCTATTGAAAGCAAAAATGACATGACCGGTGAGTTCGCACTCGTAATGCCAACAGTCTTCTAGTTATCTGTATCCAAAAAATATTCATAAATAAATAATATGTAAAATTCGGATTCCGTGAAAATATCTCCTTTTGTTGGTGACACAGGTTCATAATAATTTACAAAACCGATCATTAAAAAAAACCACGCCTAACGAACAATTTATTGATTTGCGTAAGAATGTAATGCAGGGTCAGTTCCAGGCCGCAAGGTTCAATCTACAGCTCTGTTCTTTGATTCTCCCGAAATGTTGTTTCCCTTTTTGAGTGTAATTAAGTAGATGCCTAAGTGATAACGACTCTTAGCGGCATTTATCTCTCTATACAACTTTAATCGAAGGTTACCGTACCCAGGACCTTCAGATACCTTCTGGACTGGAGAAGATCAGACTAATTAACAATATTTTTCATGTACTTTATTTAAGAGACTTCTGAAATTTACCATTCACAAATGGAGAGAAGCAGAGTCGTATTGAGATCTACTTTATCTAATATATTAAATTATCAGATTTAATTTATTCAAATGCAAGGGTTACTTCCTGGGATATTGTAAAATGTGTTTAACATTGATTGCTATTATTTTTATATGCTACGATAAGTCGTTGTAACCTTCTAAGTGGTTCGGCAATACGAAATACTGCTGCGCAGTTATTTTAATAATTGCCACCTAGATTTAGATTGTTGCTCTCTACCATGTCATGGATAAAGGGATGACTGTTACCAACGCCTAAACGTTAAATCAAGGGCATTCACACCTTGCTTCCGCTTCCCGAAGAGCAAATATTTACCACTACTTCAGTGAACAGCGTCTCTACGAAAATAACATCATAAAGTGACGTGCCATAAACCATGTACATATTTACCTCATTCCAAAAGGGTGTGAGAAATACGTAGTTCTATATCTACCTGGAATGTGCCGGTTGCCAACGTATTACTGAGCTGAACGATGAAGCTTCTCCTGGTCCTTTTCTCAGTTATTGCTGGCCTTTATACCGCGGCTGGCCAAAATGAGAGTAAATTTGGTAAGATTTCTTAACGTGAGGACATTGATCCTTAGATAGATTTTCAGTGTGCAAAAATGGAGTTTCTTATATAGAAAATTTCTGTAATCAATGTGGCTGCAATGACGGCAACCTAGTGTGCACTAAAATAGGATGGTAGGTGACGCAGTGTCATCGCTCATTCCCTTAGCGTTTTTGTTTGTAGCTCATGGTCTGATCGTTTCAAAAATTGTACGCAGGAACAAGACTTTTACTACAGATGCGGTTACTGCCAATGCGTTAAGGACTTAGGATTCATCTGCTCCCGATATAGGTGCCCAATAATTGTGACTGAGACTACGGTCACAAGCCCTACGGAATCTCCATAAAATGTCCAAAATTCTGCTTAATAGAAAGGTGTAGTAATTATTATTATTATGGTCGGTGTTTCTTGTGAGAACTCAGGTCTAGCCTGGTTAACTAATCGCACGGATTAAAATCAAGTAACGATTAGTGTCTGTGTCTGTGTCTGGGGAAGTTATGTAGGGTTCTAAAGAAAAATAAAAATAAAATAAATATTCACACACTCACATTGGAAATCTAGAGATAGTATGTAATTCTTACTTACCAACATAGCTATTAATGGCCCCAATAGTCAACGCTATCAGGAAAGAAGAAAACAAAACAAAAATATCATTATAATAATTCCTGTAATTATTATTATTATTATTATTATTATTATTATCCCTCTCTTGTTTTGGGCCCTCAACAGGCATGCGCCCAATTACAGAGTGACCCGCATAATGCTATTTAGATAATAATAATAAGTAATCATTTCAGTAGAGTTGTAGGAACCTGTAATCGATGGTGGAGGCGATAAAAAATTAATTTTCAAAATTCTTATGATTTATTATCCTTTGCACGCTATTTTACTCACCAAATGGGACCAGTAAAGGTTTAGAAACATAGCACCGCAAGTAAGACCACGGGACAGACAGACAGAGAAATGCAACAAGGGTATAAAACTACAGAAACCACAAACATTGGCAGAAACTAAACAATCAGAAGTTATAGAAACGACTGGGGCTCCAGCTGGAGTTGCAGATGGTACCGAATGAACGGAAAACGAAGAATACGCAAAGGGCTAGAAAAACTAGGGAAGATGTAGAAACTGTAGTTGAAGCGCAATCTACGTGAACTGGAACTGCGGAAACTACGGAAACCACCGAAACAACAAAACTACGAGAACTAGAGAAATAATAAGCACCGTTGAACCTACAACAAATAAATTGCATAAAGTACAGAATACAGACACCACGGAGACTTCAGATGTGACAGAAATTATGAAAGCCACGGCGTCTACCAAAATTGCTAAAGTTGCATAATTTACAGAAATTACAGAATATACAGAATTTACAGAATTTACAGAAATTACAGAAATTACAAAAATTACTGAAATTACAGAAGTTACAGAAAGTGCAGAAATTGCAGAAATTACAGATATTACAAAAATTACAGAAATTACAGAAATTACAGAAATTACAGAAATTACAAAAATTACAAAAATTACACAAACCACAAAAATTACAAAAATTACGGAAATTACAGAATTACAGAACTTACAGAAATTACAAAAGTTACATGAATTACCTACAGAAATTACAGAAAATACAAAAATTACATAAATTACATAGAACACAACTGAATATCAAGGTCATATCGGAAACTATAGAAACCAGGGTGTATACGGAAACTACGGATAGGACGGAAGCTACAGACACCACGACAATTACAGAACGAAGATGAGGTATAGTAACCCCATAGTTACTAGAGGCAGAAACTGCAAGAACTACGAACAGGGAATACAAAATCTACACATCTTACTGAATCTACACACCTGTATAATCTACAGAACCTACAGAATCTACAGAATCTCCAAAATCCACGAAATCCATCTAATTAATAGCATTTACAGGATCTACAAATTCTACAATATCCACAGAATTTAAAGGATCTACGTAACTAAAATTACATATATACAAAATCTACAAAATCGGCAGCATTTACAGATTCTATAGAATTTAGAGAATGTCGAGAATCTACAGGGTGCAAGTATTTGCAAAATTTACAGAACTTGCAGAACAGAATTAGAAATTGTACACAATATACAGAATCTACTGTTTCTGCCAGATCCACAGTACTTACATCATCTACAAAATGTATGTATAGCAATTAAACAATCTTCATTTACAGATTAGAGAATTTACAGAGTGTGAATGTATGAATTTTAGGAGTTTAGTAATTTACAGATTTGCAGAATTTGCAGAATTTACAAAACTTGCAAGATGTATAAAACTCACAGAATTTACAGAATCCACAGAATTCACAAAACTTACAAGATGTACAGCACTTCCAGAAGTTACAGAACTTACAGAATCTGCAGAATCTACAGAATCTACAGAATCTACATAATCTACACAATCTACAGAATCTACACAATCTACAGAATCTACGAAATTTGCGGAACCTACAGAATGTACAGAATCTACAGAATCTACAAAATTCACAAAATCTACAGAATTCTAAGAATCTACAGAATCTACCGAATCTACACAATCTACACAATCTACAGAATCTACAGAATCTAGAGAATCTACAGAATCTACTAAATCTACAGAATCTAAGAAATCTGCGGAACCTACAGAATGTACAGAATCTACAAAATTCACAAAATCTACAGAATTCTCAGAATCTACAGGATCCATCGAATTAATTGAATTTACAGGATCTACAATTTCTACAAAATTCTACAGAATCTACAGAACATACACAATCTACGGAATCTACGAAATCTGCGGAATCTACAGAATCTACAGAATCTACGGAATCTACATAATCTACAGAATTCTCAGAATCTACAGAATATCCAAAATCCGCAGGATCCATCGAATTAATTGAATTTACAGGATCAACAATTTCTACAAAATTCTACAGAATCTACAGAACCTACACAATCTACGGAATCTACGAAATCTGCGGAATCTACAGAATCTACAGAATCTACGGAATCTACATAATCTACAGAATTCTCAGAATCTACAGAATATCCAAAATCCGCAGGATCCATCGAATTAATTGAATTTACAGGATCAACAATTTCTACAAAATTCTACAGAATCTACAGAACCTACACAATCTACAGAATCTACGAAATCTGCGGAATCCACAGAATCTACAGAATCTAGAGAATCTACAGAATCTACTAAATCTACAGAATCTACGAAATCTGCGGAACCTACAGAATGTACAGAATCTACAAAATTCACAAAATCTACAGAATTCTCAGAATCTACAGGATCCATCGAATTAATTGAATTTACAGGATCTACAATTTCTACAAAATTCTACAGAATCTACAGAACATACACAATCTACGGAATCTACGAAATCTGCGGAATCTACAGAATCTACAGAATCTACGGAATCTACATAATCTACAGAATTCTCAGAATCTACAGAATATCCAAAATCCGCAGGATCCATCGAATTAATTGAATTTACAGGATCAACAATTTCTACAAAATTCTACAGAATCTACAGAACCTACACAATCTACAGAATCTACGAAATCTGCGGAATCTACAGAATCTACAGAATCTACGGAATCTACATAATCTACAGAAATCTCAGAATCTACAGAATCTCTAAAATCCACAGGATCCATCAAATTAATTGAATTTACAGGATCAACAATTTCTACAAAATTCTACAGAATCTACAGAACCTACACAATCTACAGAATCTACGAAATCTTCGGAATCTACAGAATCTACGGAATCTACAGAATTCTCAGAATCTACAGAATCTCCAAAATCCACAGGATCCATCGAATTAACAAACCTTCCGAGTAGCATGGAATTTTATCTGCTACATATGCCCACGTGGTCTAGTACGCAATACGAAATTGAAATACCCTAATAAATATCTATATAATTACAAATTAAGAACTTTAGGTGTTGCAACAAATAATAGGAATGGTTGCAGCCTAAGACGCTGCATCCAACAAAACACAAATGGATCGTGAACGCGACACGGAATCACTAAAAATCCAAGCATGCACATTGTAAAAACTCATTAAATATTGATTAAAATTTCCAGCAAGCATCCAGAATGTAAGGACTCAATACCTCATGGAGCCTCAAAGCTTAAAATTTTCAAAAAGAGGACCCAAAATCTGAAATGCATATTTGAAGATACCCAAAGGCAAACGGGCCACTAGATGTTGATCACAAGAGTACGAAGAAATAACAAAGGCCTCAAAACCCCAAGATTCAAACGCTCAAATAATCTACAACTTAACGATACAGTGAATAGTAGACTCAGTGAACTGTAGAGACCGGAGCTCTATGACTAGAAACTCAAAGGTCTTCAGCAGTCACTCCAACAAACATCAAAGCCTGAGATTAAACTCTCATGTTCCCAGATACTCAAAGACCTCCCGCAATGAAACTTTTAGAAGTCATAATACCTTCTCTTTTCTCTGCAAAATTCTTCCCACGTGGATTTGAATACGACACGCTGCCGCTTAATCTGATCAGGCGAGAAATTAACCATTTCTTACGTCACAAAGGAGTAAATATTGAACATTGCTTCTGTAAAATAGTCGTTTCAAGAAAATATGATCATAAAGTAATCGTTTTTTATGACATAGCAGCACTTATCTTAGTGCAAAATGTAGTGATAACGGCACGATATATCTCCTCAGTAACGTCTTCACCTAGCACATTGTTCAGCTGAAAGAATGAAGGTCTACTTGGTACTCTTCGCAGCTGTTGTTGCCCTTTGCATTGTGGCTGGCCAAGATGAGGATGAATTTGGTAAGATTCCCTTATATATACACTGATCCTTAGTGTAATTTTATAGTGTGCGAAGATGGGGTTCCATATATCGAAAATGATTGCAATGAATGTATTTGTGGTAACGGTACCATAGGGTGCACTAAAATGCATTGGTAGGTACACATGAATATTAGTAGGTACATTGAGTAAACGTTTTTTTCTAGTTCATGGTCTGACGACTATAGGAATTGTACGGTGGGAACGGAAACGACCTCCGATTGCAATACCTGTCACTGCGTCGTCGACTGGGGGCTAATTTGTACAAATCACGATTGCAACGCAACGACGACTCCCTAGACGACTCCAATCCACTATGGAACGGAACCGTAAGAAACTCGAATTTTAATGTGTAAATTTATGTAACCTATGGTGACGGCAATAAAAATGGTTGTAATTTTTTGGCAAGTAGGAGGACATATTCCACCCGGAGATTTCTTATATGTTCAGAAGAAAATTCAAACCCTTAATTTTCATTTAAACCTCCATGTTATGGAGATTTTGATGTGGCGCAGGAGGTATTGCTCCTCATATTTCACATGGTACCTGTTGTACACTTTTTCTAGCTGCCAGAATTTGAAGAGGTTGTTGCAACACTGTATTTTCCTATCAGGATAGTGTAGTGTGGGGAAAGGTTTAGAAAAATGTAGTGTAATTTGGTTTTTCGTCGACCTCTCGATAACAATATAAATTACTCCTTAGTGACGAGTACAATGATGAAGATTATTAATCGTTAGCAACCATTAATGGTTAGCAACCAACCATTATATGTTAGCAACCATTAATCGTTAGCAACCATGTTGTGTCCCAACAAATTTATGTTATTTGTCATTGATCAGATCAAAGTAATAGGGAAAATTAATGAGATATTCAATTGTTATGTTTAACGTTCGTTATGTCAATATCAAAAATAAATTAGATCGATAAGAGAAAATACACGGGAGTGTTTTAATTAGTAATCCAACTCCAAAACATGGTCCTTCGAGTAAAAAATCGTTGTCGCGTCTCTCGTTGGTTTCAATTGCTGAACGTCTTCAATTAAGAAGAATTGCCGTATCATCGAAATTGTCATCCTGTCTCTCGTTTTAAGAAGAATCGCATCATCGAAACGCTATAGAACATTACGTTTTATTCAAGTACTGGCCACGGAACATGGAACCAAAATCATTGCATTGATTAAGAAAAATCGTCGCTGGACATATATTTGCCATCAATTCACGTAAATCTCCATCCATTAATAATTACCTAATCCTATATTGTAGTACACAATTCTTTTTCTCGTTCACGTTACATATTCTCAAAAATGTCAGACATAAAGGTTTTAATTGCTAAACGTGGTGGTATAAAAAGTCAACTAACACGATTTTCTACTTTTTTGAATTCATACGATAATGCCAAATTAACAGAATTAAAGGTTAGATATGATAAATTGCAGGGCTTGTTGAGTGAATTTTCTAGTATACAACAAGAAATTGATGTTTGGTATGCTATAAAAGACAATGAAGACGAGTCACTTAGGAATTTGCAAGAAAGCGAAAGGTTCGAAAATGAGTATTATAAGCTCATGTCATTAGCGAGAGAACAATTAAATTAAAACCGGTCAGTATCGTATCTCAACTACAAGAAAATCCTATTGAATTCAAACCAAAAAGTGCTTTTAAATTACCTGCGATAGATTTGCCATCATTTGAAGGTAATTATGAACAATGGTTGTCATTCTATGAAACTTTCAATAGCTTAATCCACAATGATAAAAATCTGTCTAATATCCAGAAACTGCATTATTTAAAATCATGTTTAAAGAAGGAAGCGGCGCAAGTCTTAGAATCCTTACCTATCACTTCTGACAACTACCCTATTGCATGGGATTTGCTTATGAAACGTTATCATAATAAAAAACTCATTATTAAGACGCACGTAAATGCTTTATTTTCATTACCAACTGTAACAAAAGACAACTCTACTGCAATTCGTCAATTAATAGATAAATTAACGTTAAATTTAAAAGTGTTACATAACTTAGGATTACCTACTGATCATTGGGATGTTTTAATTATTCATTTAGTAGTTAATAAATTAGACTATCTTACTACACGTGAGTGGGAGGATGAAATTATTTCTGAAATTCCTGCCTTAAGCGAACTACTTGAATTTTTAAAACATAAATGTGACATATTGGAATCGCTACAATTTGATAAAGGAAGTAAAATAAGTTCGAATCAATTTATTCAAAAACCAAAATATACGCCTATGCAACGTTCTGTAAATAATGCGGTGCTATCGCCGCAAGAATCGAACCCGAAAAAATGTCATTATTGTAATCAATCGCATTCTATATTTGCATGTGACAAATTTAACGAACTAACCCCGGAAAATGCTCTTCAGGAAGCCAGGCGGTTAAAACTTTGCACAAATTGCTTGCGCGAAGGTCACAGTACGATTAATTGTAGATCAATGGGGTGCAAACATTGTCATCGAAAGCACGATACACGTTTTCACGTTAGAAATCAAAAATTTGAATCATCTACATTAAATAATAATCCATCGACATCTAATGAAAGTAGTTGTAATCATGTCAGTAAAACACTAACGTCAAAGGCTATACCTTTTTATCGACCGCGTGTTTGGAAATTTTTGATGTTAGCGGCAGAGTGCATAAATGTAGGGCATTATTAGATGCAGGAAGCCAATCTAATTTCATTACACTCAATCTCGCAAACAAATTAAAACTTCCTGCTAACGACATCGATTGGAAAATTGTAGGTATTAATCAGCACGTGTCTTCTGCCAATAAAATAGTAAATGTTACTATCAAATCGATGTATAACTCATTCAAGGCTAATATGGATTGCTTAGCTATACCAAAAATTACAGACTGTTTACCGAGCTTTGATTTCGATAAAAATTCATTTCATATTCCATCGGGAATCAAATTAGCTGACAATAACTTCCACAAATCGTTGCCCATAGACGTACTACTCGGAGCAGAGATTTTTTGGACACTTTTATGCGTGGGACAAATAAAACTTCAAAATCAGCCGATCTTGCAAAAAACTCATTTAGGGTGGGTATTCGGAGGAAATGCCACATTTTCCAATTTATCAAATAATATTACAGATCGTAGTGTAAATCAATTAAACCTCAACGTGATCAATGATAATATCAAACGTTTTTGGGAGATAGAGGAAATCAATGATAACCTATACGTCGATATTCAGCCGATGAATTAGAGTGCGAGAATCATTTCTTAAATACATATACACGTAATAAGGATGGTAGATTCGTAGTCAGATTACCTTTTAAAAATGATCCTACAAAATTAGGTTCCTCGAATTTTCACGCAGAAAAACGATTTTATTCTCTGGAAAAACGTTTTCATAAACATAATGACTTAAAAACTAGATATACTGAATTTATACATGAATACATTAAATTAGGGCATATGAGTTTAGTATCAAACATTGATTCGTGCAAAAATGACATTGCGTTTTATTTACCACACCATGCAGTAGTTAACGAGAACAAAGTAACAACTAAGTTACGAGTAGTGTTCGATGGAAGCGCGAAAACAAACACAGGTTTAAGCTTGAACACTCTACTGCACGTCGGTCCATCTCTTCAGCAAGAATTATTCTTGATTTTAGTACGTTTTCGAACTTACCAGTATGTAGTATCCGCAGATATTTCTAAAATGTATCGCCAAATTGAAATACACCCCGATGATCGCAAATATCAACAAATATTATGGCGGGAAGATTGCAACAATTCTTTGCAAACCTATCAATTAAACACCGTCACGTACGGTACAACCTCGGCACCATACCTCGCGATACGTTGCCTTAAACAATTAGGTTTAGAAGCAACTGAGATGCCGTGCGCTCAAAAAGCAATTCTCGAAGATTTTTACGTTGATGACTTGCGTACGGGTGCTGATACCATTGAAGAAATGTTACAATTACGAAACGAAATTGATCGCATATTAAGAAATGGATGCTTCCATTTAGCGAAATGGGCTTCCAACGATAAACGGTTGATCCCCGAATTCCAAATGAACGAATCTAATGACGTAAATTTCGATAGACAATGTGAAAGCAAAATTTTAGGGCTCTTATGGAATACCCAGAAAGATATTTTAAAATATTCAAATAATTATCAAGTAACGAATAATACAGTAACAAAGAGAGTAATATTATCTAATATTTCCAAAATTTATGATCCTTTGGGATTAGTGGGTCCAATAATTGTTACCATTAAAATATTATTACAAACTTTATGGCAATTGCAAATCGGGTGGGATGAGTCGGTACCCTTGAACGTTTTTACTATTTGGCAACAATTTTGCAAAGATTTGCCAACGATCTCCACGTATTCAATACCGAGACTAGTAGTGGGATCACTGAGGTTCTCAACATTTGAGATTCATGGGTTTTGCGATGCTTCTCAAAGGGCATACGGCGCCTGCATTTATATTAAAACCGTTTCCAACAATTCTCTAATAAGTAGCCATTTATTATGCTCAAAATCGAGAGTTGCGCCTATAAAAACGATAAGCGTCCCTAGGCTTGAACTATGCGCAGCGTTACTTCTAACACGTTTAATGAATAAAATTATCCCAGTTGTAAATATAAAACCCAATAAAATATCACTATACTCTGATTCAACTATTGTGTTGGCGTGGTTAAAAATGGAACCTTCGAAACTAAAAACCTTTGTTGCAAACCGCGTATCGATTATTCAAACAAGTACTGATGCTAATATGTGGAATCACGTTTCGACTAACGAAAACCCGGCAGACATAATTTCACGTGGCACTCTTCCAAGCGAATTGGCGAATCTTGATATGTGGTGGCATGGGCCACAATTCCTAATGACGTTGAAGTATGAAACTCCAGTACAACCTAATACTAATGAAATATCAGAAATACCTGATTTAAAGTCAACGCAAACAACATGTTTTTTAAGCAACACGTTGTCAATGTTACCAGTCTTCGACAAAATTTCATCATTTAGACGTTTATGTCACATTATTGCATATTGTAAGAGATTTGCTCACAACGTAAATAATAAATCTTTGAAATTAGTAGGAAATTTAACATTTACAGAAAAACGAAATGCGGAAATATGCATAATTCGTATATTACAAGATCATGCCTTTCATATTGAGATACAAAATTTAAAAAATAATAAGAGCATTTCAACAAAAAGTACAATTTTATCACTTAATCCCTTCCTAGACGAAAATGGTTTGTTAAGAGTGGGGGGACGATTGCGTCATTCCAGTTTATCATTCGACACCAAGCATCAAGTTATTTTGCCAAAACATAAATTAACAGCGGCTTTGATTCGCGATGAACATACTCGATTATTACATTCAGGACAATTAACTACTTTAAATTCCCTTAGACGGA